ATAAAAACATGCTTAATAGATTTCAGAGATTGTACCTGAAATGCGTATGATATAAAACAGCTTTTAAATCTTGCAATTATTGGTATTAGCTGACATCTCAGAACAAAATATGCCACTAAACACACTTTTCACAGCAGCAGATGTACTAATATCTGGATCTTTCTGCTTCTTTTCACTGACTTTTTCACAAAGCTTTGCAATACCAACAATCAATAGACAAACTATAGCAGATGCCATAAGTATTCCTCCTATGTCTGGTCTATCTGCGAAGCATAATACCGCTCCTCCTGCCATTGCTAAACAACCTGCAGTAAAAAGGCCTAAAGGACAATATATACTTGTATTACAGTCAGTATTGGATGGCGGCTCATGAGGAGGGTTTTGCCCTTCATTATTGCTACTTGGGCTATCATTTGTGCTTGTAAGGCTATCACTTGTATTGGTAAAGAATATATTCATTTCTACTTCCTCTGAAAATTGCACTCTTTTTCCTGCTTTATCACCTTGTGCATTAGATTCTTGTTCAGGTGCAGATTGTTGTTCAGATTGACAAAAAACCTCACTGGGATTGTTATTTGCACAAGAGAAATGTTCTAATTGTTCAGCAATATATAATTTGTCATTTCTATAAACTTTTCCGTCAAATTCAACCACTAATACACCTTCATTTACTTTACAACTATGTATTTTCTCTATAACATATTTATACTTTTCATTATATTTTTTTATTTCGATTGTAAATAGTATACCTTCTTCAATTTGTTTTTTAAGTTCTTTAGCTTTTTGTTCACCGGTGTGAAGTTCTAGCAAGAAAGGCGAATTCTTTTCATACCGGAATATTATTTTACTGCATGTTAACATAAATTTATCACTCTCCACTATTAATATGAACTCTAGTATACTAAAGATTATAATGATTGTCAAATTTATTATAGCCTTTTAGATATATTAATTTTTGCCACTGGTTTTAGCTGGCATCTTAACGCGAGAAACAACAGATGCATCCTGTAATGCAGTTTCCACAGTAGCACATGTGTTTGTGTCTGATGGTCTATTTTCACTGGCTTGTTCACGAGTCTTTGTAGTACCAGTGATTAGTGTATAAATTATACCAGATACTATAAAGACTACTCCAGCTCCTGGACCAACTACAGCACTTAATGTTGCTCCAAGTGCTAAATAGCTCATGCAAACAATATTGAAAGGGCAATGTATATCTGGATTATAATAAGTGTTGACAACATTATCAGCGGATTGTTGATCTTGCACGATAGAACTTGGAGTTTCTTTCGCTTCAGATCCTCGTTCAAGTTGATAAAAAATATAATAGGGATCTTCAATTTTATGAGTGAAATGTTCTAATTGTTCATAAGTAGATAATGCGTCGTTTCTATAAACTTTTCCGTTAAATTCAATTCTCAATACGCCTTTATTTAGTTTACAACTATGTGTTTTCTCTATAACATACTTATACTTTTCATTGTATTTTTCTGTTTCAATTATAAGTAAATTATTATTTTTAATTTGCTTTTTAAGCCTTTTTGCTTCTTTTTTACCGATGTGAAGTTCTAGCAAAAAATGTGAGTTTTTTTTATACTGAAATGTTATTTCTGTTCCCATTTTGCCACCTCTTTAGTCATTAATATATATCCTAGTATATATATTAATATGCTAAAATTTTAATAATAGCCAGTTGAAGCAATAAAACCTTTACAATACTACAATCATAATGTTAACTCATTAGAGGATGATTTAATACCAAAATGAGCAATTATTTATCACAATTAAATCCAGAGCAGCAAGCA